TGAGGAAAAAAAAAACAGAGCAACACACGAGCAGAAGAGGGAGCTGGCCGACGGCACCAGAGGAGTGAGCGACGGTAGAGGGGGAACCTCCCTTCATCACCATCGTCTTCATCTTCTTCCCTTCTCGGCGCAACCAGCGAGCTGAGGAGCTCGGCGGAGACAGAGCTGGGCGGCTGGAGACGAAATAGAGAGGCGGAACCAGTGCCGGCTGTGCGAACAGGGTGAAGGATTTAGCTTGAGTATATCAGCGTCTTCTTCTTCTCGGTCTGACGACTTCATCACCGTCTTCTTCCATGGCAAACCGTAATAGAGCGCTAGTGGCAGTGAATTTGATGGCAAACCGTGGCTAATTCATAATTCTCTAATTCAAAAATAATGGCAGGAGCTTGGATTATCAAAGGGGAATTTTAGTTGCTTTAATTTCTTACTTAATAATTGTTTAACAATTCCTAGGTTTTAGGATAGTTTTTCTGATTGTTAGGATAATTGTATTGCTTAATCTGATTATATTTGGGGATTATTGTGTCTGGATTATTGTTTAGCATTTGACATTGGGCTGTTTATAGCTTTGATTTCAATTATGATATTGTGGTTATGACATTTGTATTGATTTTAGAGTTAATATATTGTGATTTTCTAAGGTGGCTTGGAATCTTGGATCATATTGTCTCTTGCTAGCTTTAAGTCTATTGTTGTGGATTTAAGAATTTAATTGAGCATTGGTTTTTAGTATCCTTAATTTCATTTTACTATTCTGGTTGCAGTTAGTAATTTGAATTTTTGGGAAAATATTTTGAGGCAATTCGAGGTGGTTCGGTTGTTGGATTAAAAGTTTAATTATAATTCTTAATTCATTGTTTTAACTCCCACATCTTTTAGAGTGATGAATGCCTGCATTGTTGAATTGGAGGATTGATTATCATCAGTGTTATTTGTGTGTCTCATTTTCATTTCTTTCATCTTCAATTATTTCAATCATCTTTTATATAAAAGAAAATAACAAAAAAAAAAAGTATTTTAATTTCAATTTAATTCAAGGCATTTAGTTAGCAATTTTTCAAAATCAAAAAAATCCTTTTTATAGTTTAGGTTATTTGTATTTATTTACTAGGATTCAATTTTATTTTCAGCTCCTCAAAGTGAATACGATCCGGATTGTGCACTATATTGCATTAATTCGGTTAATTTTTGGAGTAACCCCAAAGTGACAAATTAAGGGCAATTAACTTCAAAGAACTTCTTCTCAGACATTTGAGGGCAGAAATTCAGAGGTGAGGGATTTTCTAGACAAAGAATTCTTAGCATGCAAAATGTTAAGAAAGCACAAGTTTCTCATAGTCCTTGATGGTGTCGATCTTGTACAACATCTAAAAGAGTTGAACTCAGTTGAAAAATCTATTTGTTTCGGCGGGGGGAGTAGAATCATTATAACAACTAGAGATGAACAAGTCCTTCAACATTCTGAGGTTGATAGCATTTATAGACCTAAATTTTTGTCAAAGGATGAGGGTTCTAAAGCTTTTCCAAGGGGATATCCTGTCAGCGATTTCAAAGATATGATATATAGGATATTGGAATATGCTAAAGGCCTTCCATTAGCAATTGAGGTAGTGGGTTCATCCTTTTTTGGAAAAAGCATTGCAGAATGGAGAAGCTTCCTGAATAGAGAAGAAATCATTTCTCCCTAAGAGATCATAATGGTGCTTAGAAGAAGTTTTGATGAACTTGATCACACAAGTAGGGAAATGTTTTTGGACATCGCATGTTTTTTTGTAGGGAAAGATATTAATTGTGTGAAGGAAATTTTACACGATTGTTGCTTCTGTGTTGAAATAAGAATCAAACTTCTTATTCAAAAATCACTTATCACAATTGCAAGTCAAAGGATACAAATGCATGGCATGTTGCAAGCAATGGGACGAGAAATTAATCAACAAGAATGTCCAAATCAGCCAGAACTACGATGTCGATTGTACCTTTTTAGTGACATCAAACAAGTTATGGACAAAGAAAGAAACACGGTAAGTTTCGATACCCCTTTTTAGCGCAGTGTTACTATACGTAAAGTTAAAGTAATAATCTAACATTTCATTATTTCGTGCATATGAATGCATTTATATATATTCTTGGGTGATAAGAAATGTTGAAGCTATAGCCTTGGGTTTGGAAGAGCCAAAAATGGCTACATTGAGGGTTGATGCTTTATCAGATATGATCAACCTTAGATTGCGCATATTTCGTAATGTGAAATTCTTTGGAACCCTCAATAATCTTTCAAGCCAGTTGCGATATATTTCATGGCATCAGTATCCTTTCACTTGTTTACCATCAATTTTTCAATCTCATACACTTGTTCAATTGATTATGACTGAAAGCAACATGACAGAAGTATGGAAGGGCAAAATGGTATGTTAATTGATGTCCTTTTTTAGTTATTAACAAATATTTTAAATATTAGGTGTTATTCAATCAAATCCCTAAACTAATATAGGTGCCTTTTACCGGGTGTTATATATCTCAAGTGTCGTTTTTTATCACTCAAGTACTATAGATAATTATATATACACTCTTGTATATTTTCTCATTCACAGATGCTCCCTAAGTTGAGAAAAATGAATCTATGTGATTCCAAAACTTCGACAAAGACACCAGATTTTTGTGGGGTTCCGAATCTTGAGAGGCTAGAGCTTGAAGGGTGCACTGGATTGTTGCGACTTGATCCATCTATTGCTAAACTTTCAAAGCTCAAATTCTTGAACTTGAGAAATTGCATCAATCTTGTTAGTATCCCTAATGCCTTGTTTTCTGTGGACTCGTTGCAAGTCTTAAATCTTGCTGGCTGCTCTAAACTTGCATATTGCTTGAAGTTTTCTCCTATGAAGAGCTTGGTACAAGCGAAACTGCTTAGCATTTGGTTTAGTCCATTCCTAGAAAAATTGTTGTACTTTCTTCAGATCGTTTTACCAACAAAAATGTTGTGATGAGTTTGTTTGTTGTTGTCTTGTTTACTTGATTTGTATTTGTGAGGTCAAATATGCATAAAGCTCAAGCCATGAATCTTGACATTGAACGTCTAGTGTATTTGGTAAATTTGGGAATAATATAATATGATTGTCTTTTTATCCATTATCTCTGATTTTTTTTTTTATATCATCCTAGTCTCAACGGTAAGATTGAAGATTGTACTTCATTATTGCAACTTCTTAAATCATATATATGCCTGTTTATTAATTGTATTAATTACAAAGATGAGCTTTACACTGTAATAAGATAATAAATCCAGCACAAGGATACCTGAGCACTGTACATTTCTATTTACAATGAGAAAGAATACACAGAATAAAATCAGATGATGACATCTCTCAAAGAAGATAGATAAATGAGTATGGGCTAACCTGTAACCCGGTAGTAGCCCATTTTAGCCCGTATTAAATGGGTTACAGGGGAGCCTGTTTGGGTTGATCGGGTTACGGGGTAACTCATTTATTTTTCTTTTTCTTTTCTTGTAATTTTTTCAACATAGCTATTTTGTATATGTAACCTTATGAAGCTATCAATAAATTTTGCATACCAAATGGCGAATCAAATATGAAATAACATCACATAATATCAATCATATTCAATCACACAACCTCACTTAGAGTCACAAACAATCAAAGTCTGATAAAATCATGAAAGTAGCCACCAATTATAAAAAGTCTCACAAATTTTGAAAGTTCCCACTTCCACCTAAAGTATAAAAGAAAAGTTTAGGCAAGCATGAAGGTTTGATAAAAGATGAATGAGAAACAATATCATCAATTAAATAAAGAATAAAAATATTTTTAAAATTTTTTACTATGAACCTTTTTTTTAATGTTCAGCAAAAGCTTTTCCAAAAGAGTTACTCCGGTTTTGAACCTCAGATGGATCTATATCATAGAAAATTTGGAAAATAGTATATCGAGGTTCATGAATGCGTGCAACAATCTTTGAGAGTTCCTCAAGGCACCATATAGAAGAAGCGTAGCTTTTGGAGAAGACAATGATGGAAATGTTGGATTGTCAAATTGCTTTAAAAAAGTGGTGTGGTAGAATGATGGAATCGCCTGGCTCAAGTTTCTATCATCCCAAAAGGTATTCAAATTGTCAGTTTCAAGAGCAGCCTTAAAGCATACCTGTGAATTTGCAAGTTTCATCATCTCCTTTAAAACTTAGATACACATGAATTGGCCTTGATGATGATGATGGTCCACTAATGAAACCCTCCTCTATCACTTTCATGATCAGCTGTCTCTCTCAATGGGAAAGCCGCTGGATAGAGTGGAGTCACAATTGCTCACTTAGCTTTCCAAGAGCTCTTAATGCCTCAGCGAAAGGATTGATAAGGTGGAAGTTTCCGGGAACTTGCCCTGAAAGAGATACGAAGAAGGGTTTTTTTTTTTTTTTTTCCCTTCTCTGAATTATAGATTCTATGCAAGTGGGTAAGAGTTATTCTATGTTAAGTAGATAAATAAATAAAAACGCCTCTTTCTGAGCAAGTTCATCCTCCAATGCGTGCTTCTTTTAGGCTTCCCTTCAGCTGGCTCGGCCTTAAATTAATAACCATGTTAATATCCTTCTTGGTATTTTAAGTGTGTGTGTGTGTGAATTTTTTATTCTCTCTTATTGTCAACTTGTTCCGTGTAGAATCATCAAAGGAATAACGACAATAATTACTCACATGATGGCACATTTCACACCGAAAAGAAAAGAAATAAAAACGTGATTCATTAACTTAAAACCATGGTCTAAGGAAATATGGGTTGAAAAAAAATCTATTTTCCAAAATTTTCCCCCAATCCAAACACGCTAATAGAGTATTAATATAGAAACAAATGCGAAGAGAGATGCATGAGAAAGGAAAAGGAAGAAGGCATGTATGAAAATGAAAGACAAAAAGAATTAATAAGTGATACAGCATTTATGAATGCCGAATACTTGAATAGACATTTGTTTACATATACAGCTTCTGTCTCATCCTAGAAATTGGTCGTTGAAAAGTTCAGCCAAGTGGCAATCCTGGAGCAACAAGCCAAATTTAGGAATTCTAGAGAGGGTAGCGAAAATAATCTATTGGGAATACCAACAATATTAGTGCAATTTCTCAAATTTAAGTACTTGATCCTTGAATAAGCAATAGATGGTTGAAGTTGTGATAATTGAACGCATCCTTCAAGATCTAGCCTCTCAAGACCTCGGAATGCTTTGAAAAATGGCATCTTGGTTAAATTTTTGGAGCCACGAAGATTCATGTTTCTCAAGCAAGGGAATTCCTGTATGGACATAAACACAATTAACTATGCAAGATTTGTACATTAGAGGAGCGTGCATAGCACAATTGACATTACCTACTGTAGTCTCCCATAGAGGATATCCCATAATAATGGTACCCTAGTGGATAAATATTGCTGAAAACGACATAAGAAGAGAGGTTAGAGTTTTTCTTATGCACCAAAACACTACCAAAAAAAAAAGTAAATTAGCCATGAAATTAGCAACAAAGTTTTGAATGTTTAATATATACTTATATACTCTTCCGGTCCTTAATATAAGATCTAATTAACTAATTTGAGTAGAATAGGGATGTTTCTTAAGTTAGTTAATATGATATATTTTTAGTATCTTTCTTAATTTTTTCCTTCTCTCTCCTACTTAATTATTGTTGAAAAAATATCAATAGGGTTAATTTAAAAAAAATAAAAATAAACATGTGAAATAGGTCTTATATATAGGATCAATATCAACTCAATAATTAGCTCCAATATTAAGAACCAGAGGAGTATTAAATAAGAATCACATACATTAATTGATATAAGTATTTTGATTATTGTTTGTAAACGCGTCGTTTTCATTTACCTGTGAAGTCAATTCCCTTTCGACTTGGCATGCCATGCGCCATACTGTTGAGGGTGCGGGAGTTGATTCCCTAACAGCCTGAAAACGATGTAAGAAGGAAGGATAAATAATTTTTCATAAAAGATTTACAGACAAATACTTAACATATACACTCCCCCGCCCCCCAAAAAAAAAAAAAAAAAAACCCTCTCCATCGGAGGGATTACTCACATACCCAAACAGGACGCACGCAGAGTTCCCCAACCTCCTCAATAAGAGGAGAGGGGCCATAACGAGGAATATCCTTTTCTGCTTCCAGCAGCATATCACGTAACTTCGAGAGTGAGGGTGATCCCTGGAAACAAAGAAGGAAGGAAGGTTGAATTGTTTCATACAAAACTTTATACACAAACACACACACACACACACACACACACACACACGCGTGAATAAAAAGAAAAATATAGAATTTCTTAATGTGTGTGTGTTTATTTATATATTATTTTCACACACACGCATATTACTCGTGCAGAAGATGCCCACTCTGCTTTGCGCACCACATCCCATAGTTTAGAGAGTGAGGGTGGTTCCTGAAAACAATGTAAGACTGAAGGTTACATTAAATATAGAAATTAATTATATATATTAGTTGAAATAAACATTTTGATGATTGCTTATAAAAGCGTCGCTTCCATTTACATGTGATGCAATTATTACGTACCTCTTCTTCATCCCACAAGCTTGTATTGGAGCTGCATGGCAAAATCAATTCTCTAAGATTTGTTGGTACAAAACTTGATGGTAATAAAATTAAATGAATAATGGTGCCATGAAATATATCGGAGATTGCTTGAAAGATCCTTTAGCACTCCAGAAAATTTCACATTACGAAATATAAGGAGTCTAAGATTCCCCATGGATGATAAAGCTTCAACCCTTAATGTTCTCCCTCGTGAATCCTCTAAATCCAAGACAATTGCTTCGACATTAGGAAATGGCTGAAAAGAAGCACAGTTAGATTAAAGATGTTGCAAAGTGGGAATAGTTCAATTTTAGGACATTATATATTAATGTTTCAACCAATAAACAAAAAGATGTTATAAAAATCTTACAGTCTCATTTTGCATGACATCATGTACATCATCAAAATCCCATAATCTACTCCACTCTTTTGGCTCAAAAGGAAAATCATGACGAACAATTTCTTTTCCCATTTCTTGTAATAAACCGTGCATTTGTATTTTTTGATCCATGATAGTGATGAGTGACTTTTCAACTAAAAGTTGAATTCCATCATCCTTGAGCAAATCGCTAGACTTTAAAACTCCTTCAACAGATTTAATCTCCTTCCCTGTGAAAAAACATGCAATATCTAAAAAGGCAGCTGCATGGTCATCATCCAGATCATCAAAACTCCCTTTAAGTACTTTCTTTAACAGAGGGTTATCTAGTATTTTGAATTGAACCAACGCATTACTCCAATCTGAGGCTCTTCTATTAAATAAAAATGAGCTCATCATGACGATTGCCAATGGATGGCCATTAGCATATCGGAGTACTCTATTTGTGTGCTCTTCATAACCTCTCATTGGGAAATCAGATTTGAAAGTTTTACTACAAAATAACCGAAGAGCTTCGTTCCTGGTCAACAGCTTAACCCTGTAAATATCATGCTTCTCAAACATTTTAAGCAATCCTTCATCTCTAGTTATTATGATGATTCTACTCCTTCCACCTAACCAGTTATGCCTAATTATTACATTGAGCACTAATTGTAGAACATAAAATTGATTAACAAAATCAAGAACTATAAGAGTTCTCTTTAGATGTCTTAGCTCTATGGTCTTATAAAATTCAATTGCTTTCAGTATGAAATAAGAAGCATCAAAATGGTGAGAGATCTATCTTAAAGAACTCTAACAAGAGTTGTCTTCCCTACTCCGCCCATACCACAAATGCGCACAAATCGAACCCCATCATTTGAACCCAGATCAAGAAGCTGTTCTGCTTCTCTCACTTGAGATTTCATTCCTACTAGGTCTGCATCAATATACGCTAATTGACGTACCCTTTTCTTGACCTCTCTAACGATGTCATCAACAGCTTGTGCACATGGGCTGAAGCAAGAACAGAAACAAAAGTACCAATCAATTACAACTAATCACTTATTCAATGACTAAATTAATTGAGGAAAAACCATGACTAAATTTACTCACTCTTATGGTATATTACAACCAGAGAGATGGCCACTTGTTTCATTGCTGACCTCCATTAGTGTGCCTAGCGTAAATTTGCTGTGAACCTTTGTTCATGTTCAGTGAAAGCTTTTTGGAAAGAATTACTCTGGTTTTGTACCTCAGATGGATCTACATCATAGAAAATTGGGAAAACCATATATCGGGGTTCATGAATGCGTGCAGCGATCTCAGAGAGTTCCTTAAGGCACCATATGGAAGAAGCATAGCTTTTGGAGAAGACAACGATGGAAATGTTGAATTGTCGAATTGCTTTGAGAAAGTGATGTGGAAGAAGGATGGAATCAGCTGGCTCAGGCTTCTTATCATCCCAAAAGGTGTTTAAATCGTCAGTTTCAAGGGCTAGCCAAAGCATCTCTATGAATTTGCAAGTTTCATCATCTCGTTTGAAACTTAAATATGGATTGGCCTTGATAATGATGATCCACCGATGAAACTCTCCATGTGTCTATAACCTTTCTGCCTTGAATATCAGCTGCCTTTCTCAGTGAAAAGCTGTAGCTAGCTGAAGTTTTAAAGATCTTTTAAGGTGGAGATTTCTTGGAACTTTCCAGCATGAAATAGATACGAAGAGAATAATTAATTTCTAGCAAGTTCGTGGCTTCTGCACCCCACCTACGATAAACAAAAAATTTGCTGCTCACATATTTTGACGGTTTATTTTACTAACTGATAAAAGAAAATGGAATAGTAAATGAGCATAATAAACCCCACCGAGTTGCCACCAACGTCCCCTGATCGATTGATTTCAGAAGGCGAAGTTGAAGTGATTCCCCTGTTTCGTTCTTCTCTTCATCACCGCGTTGAAGAAAATTTGTGCAGAAGAAATGAGGCTACAATAATAATTCAAGTTAGCCGACCAAAAATAGCACTTTTTGGTGGGAGCAAAGCAGAGTGTTGTGTCAACTAATTTTTCAATAGCATTCTGATAGGGAATCTAAAGAGCCCTGAAAAATTAATTGACTCAAATCTATTGACACTTTCATTTTTGTTGATAGCCGTATAATTTTTATTTTGCCGAAACCTTATTATATCGTCTGATAGCATCACTTTGCACCTCTCAATAAGAACGTTGTAAGATCAAATCTAAAGAATCTAAAGTACTACCTCCGCTTCTGAATATATGATCTAGTTTTTCATACAATTTGTCAATTTTGGTAATTGGTCAATTTTTGTTTTCGACTTAGGATATTTGACCAATCTGATTTTGCTTTCTCTTATCCAATTTTGATTTTGGTTCAGAATACATTGTATGACTTGGTTTCTTTTAAAATATACTGTAAATTTGTTTCTCGTTTGGTGGTTGAATTTATATTTGTTGCTGCTTTCTATTTTTATAATGCAGGATGCTACTAGAAAAGCACCCGTTTTTTTTATAAAAAAAAGTCAATAATACTTGATAATTATTGAGAATAACTGTCAAATATTAAGTATCAAAAGATGATTAATGGGGTCACAATACTTGACGGTTCTATTGTTAAAACTGTCAAGTATTCGCACAAATATTTAATGATTAATAATCATTATATATTTTCTATGTGAATATATAACACCTACATATTTGATGGTTCATAATCGTCATATATGAATAAAAATAACTTTTAAGTATTTGCATTTTTGTAGTACGGGCCAAAAGGTATTCAAATCGTTAGTTTTTAAGAGCAGTCCATAGCCCATCTATGATTCTGCAGGTTTCATTATCTCCTTTGAAACTTAGATAAACATGGATCGGCCTTGATGATGATGATGGTGTACTAATGAAACTCTCCTCTGTCACTCGATCTCATGATCGGTTGCCTTTCTAGTGGGAAAACTGGATAGAGGTCGAATCACAATTGCTCACTTAGTTTTCGAAGATCAGCGAATGTAAAAGAGCAACAAAATTAGAGCTCTATGCAAGTGCGCGCACCTTTGTAAGAATTACTGTTAAAAATTGAAAGGTTTGTTAATTTCTTCCTCTTTATTTTGACCATTATGTACGTTGCTTTAGTAAAGTTGTTGAATTTTCAAGTAGATAAAAAATTGAAAGATAGCAGACCCAGCTAAGCATGCCCTTTTCATAATTAGTTCTTGGATATCTTTTCTTTTACTTATTCAGTGTTAATATAATCTTTAGTCATTTAAATTTAGACTGATTTTAATTTTGCTCTCTCAAAATTTCAAATCATAAGTTTTTGTAACACCCTGAATTTTATGATTTAAGATAAATAAAAAAGAGAAATTCATTAAAATTATTTAATAGCCAAATAAAATTGGAAAAAATTATGGAATATTGATTTTTCAGGTTTAGAGATATTTTGGAAAATTTATTTTCCTAAAAATGACTTAAATACTTTTAATAGATAATTTCAAAAGAAAAATGGCTTATTTTCTCAGAAAATTATGGAAAATACTTAGAGACTTATATCTAATCTAAAAATTTTAGGATAATCATGTAAGATAGTAAAGAAGATAATTGAGGCATAAAATCCTTAAAATAGGTTAAGGATTAATTTCTGAAATTAAGAACTATCTTCTTGGAAAATTCAAGAAAAATAGTTGAGTTAATTTTTGACCCAAAATTTTTAGAGAAATTATTTTATGGGTCAAAGAAGATAATGGAGAAGGAAAATCCAAACAGAACATTGTGAAAAAATTTCTGAATATATTTTATATTTCAGAAAAATGGGAGGAAGGATGGAAATGGAAGGAAGTAAAGAGATGAAGGAGATGATGGCCATTTCCCTTACTCCCACACATACCACACGTGCAGCCTCACTTTTTTTCTACACCTGAAGACTCATTCATTCCCCTCATTTCCGGTTACTCACCCACGAAACAGAGAGAGAAGGAGGGTGAGAGAGAGAGAGAGCACAAGAGAAGCAGTACCGGAGGTGGTGATCGGAGGTTGTTTATTTACATGCACTCCGTGATTCTGGACAAGGTGAGTCCGCTTATCACTCTCGTATCTTTCATTCTTTCATTTGCTGTGTTTTTGAAGAGTTGATGATGAAAGAAAATCTGGTAATGTGAGAGAAATGTTGGAATAAACCAGAAAGTTGATGATGATGAAAGAATGATGCTTGTCGATGATAATGGAGCATGTTTTTCAGCTTGCATGTTGTCAATGATTTCTGCATGTTGACGACCGACTGGTTGTGACGCTCAAACGGGGGTGGGTTGAGTCGCTGGTTTAGGATGATAGTGAGTTAAGTTCATGGAGTGAGTATATTGTATTGCATGTTGCTTATCTCCTCTGCAAGTTAAATTTGAATAGTTGTTGTTGTTTCTGATGTGGGTGGCTTCAGGTTCTGGTGGAATTAAAGGGGAAAAAAATTACACTATTCACGCGCGCGCGCGCACACACACACACACATATGTATATGAGGCCGTATGTGATGTTGGTTTGTGAAGTGATGGTTTTCGAACCCCAAGCTCTGTTTTAGTTGACCGAAAGCAGGGGTGATAGTCGCTGGTTTAGATGATGATTTCTGTTATTAATGGTGTCGAGTTCACTGGTTTTTAGAGGAGGATATATGTATATTAATATATATAAGCTTGGATGGTGTTTATTTTGCTTTTGTGATTATTGAGGCTGGCTCTAGAAATGTATTTTGAATCTGGAAAATTTCCAGATTTGTTATAATGTGATGTCATGGTTGTGTTCGTGTTTAAATCAATTTGGTTTTGATCGGTTATGTTTATGAATACTGAATGCGTACGTATAGATGTTTAAATCATGTTTAGATGATTGAGAGTTTGCTTGAGGATCCTTGGAGGATGGTTTACTTAATAGTTTTGAAGCTAGAAACTTTAGTTATTATTTTTGCTGTTCAAAACTTTTATTTGAAAGGAAAGGATTCAATTGGCGGGGGTAGTGTTCGGTTTTGATGAGAATGAGAGGAATGGATTTAAGTATTGGAAGTATGTCTCTCTCTCTCTCTCTATATATATATATCCATTTGTGTATATAAGTGTCCGATTGGTTCAGTGATTTAAGAAGAAAAGTTGCTGCAGTAAGTATTAATTAATATGGGAGAAAGGTGAAGGCATACACGCATATAGATGAGGTTACACTTGGAGATTGGAGTTCTAATGCTCTCTACTACTGTTGTTGTTCTGTGTTTGGCCGAAAGCTAATGGAGTTTATACTGGTGCTTGTGAAGTTGAAGTAATCCAATGGAATAAATGAGATATAATATATATACATATATATAGTCGCAGATTTGTCTTAACAAATTTATTATACATGTATATATGCATGTGTGTAGATATCGGAGGATCCTTATGAAATGGAAAGACATTGAGTAACTTGGAAGTTTGAGGGATACAAGCATATGCAGGGCAATGTGTTATGAAGAGAACATTCTTTAATATTCTAGATGTTGAGTAATGATTTTAGATCACTGAATTAAATTTGAATGCCTTAAGTCAATGATGGTGTTAAATTG